GGATTACAACTTAACATAAAGAAAACAAAAATCCTTACAACTGGATCAATAAGCAACATCATGATAAACAGAGATAATACTGAAGTTGTCAAGAATTTCGTTTTACTTGGATCCACAATCAATGCCCATGGAAGCAGTAGTCAAGAAATCAAAGGACGTATTGCACTGGGAAAATCTGCTGCAAAAGACTTCTTTAAAGTATTAAAAAGCAAAGGTGTCACTTTGAGGACTAAGTAGTCCTAACCCAAGCCATAGTATTTTCAATTGTCTTACATGTATGCGAAAGCTGAACAATGAATGAGGAAAACTGAAGAAGAACTGACACATTTGAATTATGGTGTTGGTGAAGAATGCTGAATATACCATGGACTGCCATAAGAACAAACAAATCTGTCTTGAAAGACATATCGCCAGAATGCTCCTTAGCAATGAGGGTGGCGAGTCTTCATCTCACATACTTTGGACATGTTATCAGGAGGGATCAGTCCCTGGTGAAGGACATGCTTGGCAAAGTAGAGGGTCAGCAAAAAAGATGAATCAAAATCCATCAATGGGACGGATTGACACAGTGGCTGCAACAATGGGCTCAAGCATAGCAATGATTGTGATGATGGTGCAGGACCAGGCAGTGTTTCATTCTATTGTACACAGGGTCACTATGAGTTGGAGCTGACTTAGTGACACCTAACCACTACCTTTTTATAGACACCCATTCATCCCTGTTGTTGTTATGAACGTACAAGTCAATTCTGGCTCATAGTAACCCCATGTAACAGAATAGAACTGTCCCATGGGGTTTCCTAGGCATAAACTTTATGGGAGCAGATTGCCAGGGCTTTTCCCCCATGGAGACACTGGTGGGTTTGAACTGCTGACCTTTTTGTTAGCAGGTGAGCTCTTAACTGTTGTGCCACCAGGGCTCCTTCATTTACCCCTAAACCCTCATAAATCCATTTCCAGTGAAGAAGCTTCATCTGCAAGGTGCCCTGTCACTGAACTTCACTTCACCTTAGACTAGCACGTCTCAGTAAAACAATTGGTATCACAAGTGCAAGAAGGATGAGTAACACTTGGAGAGCCTTGGAATTAGAGAGCGCCTTTCTTCTGTGGAGCTCAGTGTGTTTTACATAATAGCATTTCATATCATTACAACACCACCATGAGTTAGGAAAGGTATTATTAAGGTATCATTATCTCTAATTTACAGGTGGAGGAACTGAGTTATAAAGAAGAGTGGAGTAAACTTCCCAGTGTCAACATCTAGGTTGGCTTCAGAAACCATAGCTGTCCGGGTGCCAGGCTCTGTCACCCCACCCTGGGAAGCAATGCAATGTTCCTATTGTTCTCACTTCTAACGCTACTGGATATTATTTTAGACATCTGGAAAGTCCTTTTTTGGCATTTCTGTTGGCCTTCATTCTAACCCATGTGTTCAGATTGCTAGGATTCAGTAAACATGAACTTTCAATGAAGTAAGCTTACAAATTCTACCTTTCTTTCAACCCGCACCTGATTATTTACAAAGATACCCACTGAGCAAGACATGCACACACACAGACTCCAAAGAAAAACAAACACTGAGCAAGACATGCACACACACACACTCCAAAAAAAACCAAACCCATTGCCTTAGAGTTGATTCCGACTCCTAGTGGCCCTATCGGACAGAGAAGGGTTTCTAAGGCTGTAATCTTTACAGAAGCAGACTGCCACATCTTTCTCCTGCAGAGCGGCTGGTGGATTTGAACCGTTGATCTTTTGGTTAGCAACCGAGCGCTTGTCCACTGTGCCTTGTGGGCTCCTTATATATATATTATATAACATTAATTTGTTAAGAAATGGTGGAATTGATGAACTTTCCCTTTCAAAATATTCTGATTAAAATATGCCCAATGTTTAGAAAAACACCTCAAAGTCTTAAGCTGTTAACTTTATAGAAGCAAAACTTTTTTAGTAGAAAGATAAGGCCATATTGCCAGGTTTTTGGAAATGGACTGTGAAAAGAAGGCAGAATACTCCACAGCTTTGCTGAATAAAAACAAGAAAAATAAAATTTAAATAAAAGTAAGGAAAAAAACCAACCTATATTCCTCAACTTTTAATATGAATATCCAGGATTCCTAAACTTCAGCAAAACTGGTGATAAAACAAAAATTATTGGAGTAGTGTTTTTAAAAATTCACATTCCTTCTGAACAGAAAAGTTTTCACACCTAATACTGCAAGAAAGATTTTTCCTAAATTGTTGTGATTTGACAGCATCAAATTTAACATTCCTTGCTCTATAAGAAATAGCTTTTAGGATAAAATCAAGGGGAAAAAAGGTCATTAAAATCAGCCATACTATTGTCTAAAAGTGATAAAAGTGGCACATTTAGAAATGTTAAAATTCAACTAGGCAAAAAAGGTATGCTTTTTCTTCCTAGGAATGAACACAGTCATGTAATTAATCTGTTTCTTTAAGGAAAATTCCAGGACACAAAATAGAAGCACTGAAGGATAATAGGCCTTACGAATAAAAAGTGTGATTTTTGGCAGATCTCTTTCTAATAATGAGGAAGTCAAGGTTAGTTCTAAGTCTCACTACTGACAACTTGGAATATCCACTCTGGCTGTTCTTGTTTGGGTACAGGGGCTGCCAGAACAGAACAAAAGAAAAAAAAAAAAAAAAAGAAACTAATGAAAAAGACCCCTCGATACTTCTCAACCAAAGCAAACTCTCCAAAGGATGGCGCACATGACCCAACAAGATTAGGAGGAAATTCTCCCGAGGTTACTGTCTACCCCCATAAGATGCTCAGTAAGTATCTGTGGCATGAATGGATGGCAAAAAGGAACTGTGTGAGGGAAATCACAGCTGGGGTTCTAGCCTCTGGAAAAACCGCGGAGGAGCTAGACTGTTTTTTAGTCTCCTCTCTGCATTGTCAAAAGAGGACCGAAATCCTGGAAGAACCCCAAACTACCCTGTTCTTTTTTGCAGCTTAAGAGGAAGGAAATGAGCATTTCTCAATACCTAGTATAAAGAAAAGGTGCAGGACATGCATCATCTGATGGGATTCCCACAACTCTGAGAGTGGCACAGCTATCCGCATTTTACAGGTGAAAAAAGTAAGGCCAGAGAAGTTTGAATAGGTCAAATGCCAGAAAGCATCTGCAGAGTCAAGAAGAGGCTCTGAAATGAAGTTTTGCCCATAGATCTCACTGCCTCATTTTGTCACCTCATCTGCTAACAAGGTCTACAGGGTCACTATGAGTTGGAATAGTTGACTCACCGCAACGGGTTTGGGTTTTTTTTTTTTTTTTTTGGTTATTGGCAAACGGGGAAAAGTCAATAATCAAGAAAGTATATGTTGATAAAATAAGGGGATAGCAGAAGAGCTGTGGGACCAATAGAACACAGGGTGTCCACAGTGACCCCTAGGGAGGCATTGTCTTTATAAACGCTTGTGCTCCTCTTTGCACCTCCTACTATGTATACTAAGTTCAGTCCTGCTTCTTCTCAACAGAGTGAGTAGCATCAAATCAGAGGACCCCTTTAGTGTGCTTTCTTTTAACTAGGAAGAGAAGATTTTCCACCTCACAAAGTGACACGTGTTTTCTACAATTTTTGTTTTTTAACTAAATCCATTTTACCAATGACTATTTTAAATATGTATTTATAGGCTGGCAATCCAGGGTTGTGCAAATGATTAATGTGCTTGGCTGCTAACCAAAAGGTTGGACATTGAGAGTTGGAGGTGCAAGCTCACACAGAGGCACCTCAGAAGAAAAGCCTGGCCATCTACTTACAAAAAATCAGCCACTGAAAACCCTATGGAATATCTACATGGGATCAAATTGGTAACAGCAACGTGAAAGGCTGGATAGGAAGCTTAGGGAGCAGTGAGTTTCTGCTGATGGAAGAAGAACTATTCGGAAAAGGAGGGTAAAAATCGTCGCACAACTTGAAGAATGTAATTAATATCATTGAATCGTCCGTGCAGAAGTTGTTGAAGTGGTATATGTTCTGCTCTGTATATTTTCAACAACAACAAAAATAGAATAACACTTTAATCTCAGATATAAAACATCTGAATTTTATTGAGAGAAAATAATTAAAATTTTATTTTATTTTTGTTTAAACTCACTGCTGTCAAATTAATTCTGACTCACAATGACCCTGTTGGACAGAGGAGAACTACCCCACAGAGTTTCCTAGGCTGTAAATCTTTACAGAAGCAGACTGCCACATCTTCCTCCTGAGGAACAGCTGGTGGGTTTGAACCGCCGACCTTCCAGTTAGAAGCTGAGAACTTAACCACCAGGGCTCCTTTTTTTTTGTTTTTTAATACAAACTAAAACAAACAACAATGATAAAACACAAAATCCTGTGGAACACAGTTCTACTCTGACACACACAGGGTTGCCATGAGTCAGAATCAACTTGATGGCAACTGGCTGATTGTCTGTTATTTACGGATAGCGCTCCTTCTAAAGCGGTGTAACCAGCAGGTATAAGGCAACTTTGTTTTGAAAGAGAGTTGGACAATACTTCCCCTTAGAAGTTTTTCATGCTGTCAGTCATAGTTGCTTGTATTCAACATAAAGATGGATTTTTCTAGAAAATATGCAAGCATGTAAGAGGGGGCAGGGGAGAATGGTGCTTCAGCCCCTGCTACGGTCTGGTAGTGCCAGCCACTGGGGCTGTTGAGGAATTTTAACCTTGATCTGATATGTTCTAATACAGATGAATGAATGCTTACTGCTCAGTACTTCAAATCAGGTCAAATTACAAACAAAAGAGTTTCCACTGGAGTAAGATCCGCTGCTGGTTCTTTCAACTTACCTTTAAGATTTGGGGTTGCTCCTTTAATAGGGAGACGTGTAAAAGCTCCCTATTTAAGATTGTCACAGCCCACTATCCATAAGGTAGTTACAATAAGTTTGTAGAGTCCCGAAACAAGACTTTATATGGCACAGCCTCAGGCCCAAAGAAACAGACCTCGTTTGTCCAGTTATGGGGGAGCAGTGTTGGGGTTTTTTGTTTTTAATAATCCACGTTCCTTTTCTTTCCAGCCCCCCATATTAATAGTGATCCCCAGGCGACCTGAGCCATGCTTCCACAGAGCATGAAGGAATACCACTGCTGAGCTACATGGTTTCCGCCTAGGTTTTTTCCATGGTATGAACCAAGCCCTAAAAGCTACAACGGAGTCCTTCAAAAATGTTCCAGGGCATGGTCTTCATTCCAGTGAAAGAGGGATGCCTGCCAGTTATCCCACAAACAAAATACTACAGTCGTCATTTGAAACAGAGAGAGGAGCAAGGGTGTCTCAGAGAAGCTCAGTGTCTGGCAGCAAATACAGCATCAGAACTCAGAGGTGATGTTCTATTTATACAGGTACATGTATTTTACAGAAGTACTTCTGAGAAACAATTTGTTCCAAGTCTAATTCCAATGACGGGTTGTCATTTCCATGAGCCCCACAGTTTCCGCAATCTGTACACCAAGCAACGCTGCAGATTTTCTTTTTCCCCTTAATTTCAGAGGGTGGAGACGAAGTAAAAAAAGTGCAGTTCTTCAATTAAAGTGCATGGATGAGGTAAACTAATTTCAAGAGTTTTTAGTTTATTCAGTACTGGCTCAGACAGGAACCATGCGGCCGTGTATCTGCTGCATTTGGGTTCGCATGGCCTGGACGCTGCTCAAAATCTTATTCTGGTGCGTGACGGCTGTGATGCCAATTCTTGCCAGGTCACTGTACATAGGAGGAAAAACGAGAGAAAAAGTCACATGGGCTGAGAATCTCTCTTCCAGGTTTCATGCAGACACACATTTGAATCAGCCACAATTAGTACAGCACAACAAGGCAGGTGTATCAGAATGTTTAATTAAGCAATCTAATGCAATAATGTAGGTGGCTTTAGGGAGGCCGTGTAAAATTACACTCAATCAAAATGAGAGGCATTCCGGTTTTCGTTTAATTACTATTTTTGAATGAGGAGGATGATTACGTAGCACAAAGCAGAAAAAAAAAAAAATACTATTAAATCCAGATTTACCCTTTGGTGTTATATCGCTGAGTACTTACTCCTGGTTCATGTGTACCACAGCCTCTAGCGTGGTATAACCAGCGGCTGTGAAGTTATCCTTATACCGGTCCATTTTAATGGCCTGGAGCCAATCACCCACCGATACCACAGCAGAGAATTCAGGAGAGCTTGGATCCAACAAGGCAGTGTTGGGTCTGGAAAGACAATGAGCAAGTGTAGAAAACAAGAGGTATTGAGTGAGACATCAAGACTCAGAAGTCAGCTTGCCTAAATTAGGCAAGGGGAACTGAAACAGCAAGGGTAGAGTTTAGATAGAATACCCAACGCTCAAATGTCTTCACACTAATTTTTGCCCTAAATTTTACAAAGTTGCCAAAAGATTTATCGACCACCCTGCTGCTGTGAGCTGCCTTTGATTTGGCCCCCAACTCACGGTCACCCCATTCACCATGGAACGAAACTCTGCCCAGTCTTGCGCCATCCCCATGATCAGCTGTGGATTGGGTTGTGATCCATAGGGTTTTCATTAGCTTATTTTTAGAAGTAGATTGCCAGACCTTTCTTCCGAGTCTATCTTAGTCTAGAAGCTATGCTGAAACCTGTTCAGCATCATAGCAACAACACACAATCCACCACTGACAGGCGGGTGGCTGGCTGCTTATGAGGTGCACTGGCCAGGAATAGAATCTGGGTCTCCTGCATGGAAGCAAGAATTCTCAGCAATCACCCTATTTGTTCTGAATTCCATTTTCCACATTTGTTTTATGCAGACTTCTTAGTGCATTAATGCTCATAAGCAGATCTTTTAACATGCCAGCCTGGGGTAAAAATTAGGGGAATATTTGTGGCCGAAACCTGCTCAGTCTTTGCAGAAGAGTCTGGCCCCTGCCAGCACTACATGTTACAGCCGTTAGTTGGGCAACTATAGAAACCCTAGTGAAGTATGCGTAAGGGGAAGTGGGAGCTTGCAGCCTGCCAGACTTGATGGCAGCGGAGAAAGCTGTGAGAGTTCAAGTCCAGCATGTATCCAGCCAGGTCTGCAGGCAGGCTCAGTGCATCCAAACAAACTCGGGACAGCAGGGAGTTAATCCCCTCTTTAATCAACCCACGTCTGACCAGCACGTGTGCCAAGACTAGCAGGAAGAATGGCCACTTTGATCCCTGTTTGGACTGTGGAATGCGCTTCTCGTATTCCCTTGTTGGAGCACCTAAATAATGATTTCAGCAAATTCAAAGTGCTTCTTATTAACTTATTTATTAGTTTAATGCATTTCTCAGGCCAGGTGTTTTTTATTAGGTCACTGTCAAGCACTACTACAGTTCAAGGCAGGAATGTTGGATTCCTTGTGATATTGGTATACAAAAAATCACCTATTTATAGGTAGGCTTTATTAAGAGAATTATAGTTATCTTCATCATCAAACTATTTAATAACCACAGGGTAGACCTTCATAGAGTTATTTCGTATACCATCTTTATTACAATGACCTATATAACAATACTGCCACTTGTTATGTTCTATTTTCTTGAGCTTCCTTATTCTCTAGAAATTACAGAGATTTTTTATATTATCATGTTGACCAGATTTTCATCTTGAGGCTATGTCTGTGAGTACAAGTATTTTCACCAGAATTATATCATCACTACTGAATTTTCAATTGAAAACTCATTTTCTTGTGAAAACAAAATTAAGTCAACATAATGCCTTGATTAATTTTCTACTTCCATTCTTTACATTTTACCTAAATTATTTTGATTTGAATTACTGTTTTTATATAAATACCTTAATGAAGATTTGCATTATCAGTTTTTTGTCCAAATAATAGCTTGCCTTTGTGACCTTTCTTTTGTGTCTATTAGCTCAATTAAATCCGATTTTCTGAGTAAAATTCTGCAGATCATTGCAGTAAGAATAATCAAAATTTATTTCTTCTTCTAATTTTGACTGGATAACAAATACTGGCACCTAAAATTTCATACATTTAATTTATTGTTGGATGTTTGTCAATAATATTCATAATTAAATAAAGACCAATCATTTGCATTCACTTCTAACTTGGAAAAAAAAAAGCAGCACCAGTAGGGCAAAGATGTGGACTCTAGGTGCCTGGAAGGTCAAAATGGCCTTAGGATGAAAATACTCTCATTCAATATCAATGAAGTCCGAGGGTCATTTTTAGCCTTGCTCTGGAAGTCTTTGTACGCTTTGTGGAATACTTTGATACCTACCTAATTTTGCGCTAAATCACATACCATGTTATACTACATATCCCATTATCAGCAAGCAGTAAAAAGTGTCAAAGCTATTTAAATACCATCAGTGAGAAAAATTTAGAATTGAAAAAAGTGTATCCAATAACTCAATTTGTTCTGCATGTTGGGTTAAAGTAGTCATTATGCAGTATCAGTGGCTGAATAGCCTATGCTAGCAGGAGAATCACCAAAGAGCTGGCCTTAGGACCTTTGGACAAAATATGTGGGATCTGGAGCTAAAGATCTACCTTGGAATCAAAGAAGTCAACTAGACTTGGAAAGGAGGTGTCTTACAGTCAACTGTTTTCATCTTCTTGGAAAACAGAAGACCAAAACACAGCCCAGAAATACAAGCATACTTCATTTTATTGGGCTTCGCTCTATTGCACTTCGCAGATACTGCGTTTTTTACAAATGGAGGGTTTGTGGCAACTCTGCAGTTGAGCAAGTCTATCAGGGCCATTTTTCCAACAGCATGTGCTCACTTCATGTCTCTGTGTCACATTCTGGTAATTCTCGCACTGTTTCCAACTTTTTCATTATTATTATATCTGTTATGGTGATCTGCGATCAGTGATCTTTGATGTTACTATTGCAATTGTTTTGGGGCACCACAAATCGTGCCCATGCAAGTTGGTGAACTTAATCAATGAATGTTGTATGTGTTCTGACTACTCCACCAATCAGCTGTTCCCTGTCTCTCTCCCTTGAGCCTCACTACTCCCCAAGACACAATAATATTGAAATTAGGCCAGTTAGTAACTCTACAATGGCCTCTAAGTGTTCAAGTGAAAGGAATCTCACAGGTGCCTCACTTTAAATCAAAAGCTAGAAATGATTAAGCTTAGCGAGGAAGGCATGTTGAAAGCTGAGATAGGCTGAAATCTAGGTCTCTTGTGCCAAATAGTGAACCAAGTTGTGAATGCAAAGGAAAAGTTCTTGAAGGAAATTAAAAGTGCTACTCCAGTGAACACATGACTGATACAAAAGCGAAATAGCCTTATTGCTGATATGGAGACAGTTTTAGTGGTCTGGATAGAAGATCAAACCAGCTACAACATCCCCTTAAGACAAAGCCTAATCCAGAGCAAGGACCTAACTCTTCAATTCTATGAAGGCTGAGTGAGCTGATGAAGCTGCAGAAGAAAAGTCTGAAGCTAGCCGAGGTTGGTTCATGAGGTATAAGGAAAGACGCCGTCTCCATAACATAAAAGCGCAAGATGAAGCAACAAGTGCTGAAGGTGGCTACACTACACGACAGATTTTTAATGTAGACAAAACATCCTTATATTGGAAGAAGATGTCATCTAGGACTTTCACAGCTAGAGAGAAGTCAATGCCTGGCTTCAAAGCTTCAGTGGACAGGCTGACTGTCTTGTCAGGGGCTAATGCAGCTGGTGACTTAAAGTTGAAGCCAATGTTTGTTTACCATTCTGAAAATCCTATGGCCCTTAAAAATTACACTAAATCTATTCTGCCTGTGCTCTATAAATGGAACAATAAAGCCTAGATGACAGCACATCTGTTTACAACATAGTTTACTGAATATTTTAAGCCCAATGTTGAGACCTACTGCTCAGCAACATCCATTCTGCAGCTCATGGATCAAGGAGTAATTTCGACTTTCAAGTCATATTATTTAAGAAATACATTTCATAAGGCTATAGCTGCCATAGACAGAGATTCCTTTGATGGATCTGGGCAAAGAAAATTGAAAACCTTCTGGAAAGGATTCATCTTTCTAGATGCCATTAACAACATTTGTGATTCATGGGAGGAAGTCAAAACATCAACATTAACAGGAGTTTGGAAGAAGCTGATTCCAACCCTCATGGATGACAGTGGAGTAGATAACTGCAGATGTGGTGGAAATAGTAAGAGAACTAGAATTAGAAATGGGACCTGAAGATGTGACTGAACTGCTGCAATTTCATGATAAAATTTTAACAAATGAGGAGAGGTTTTTTAAGGATGAGCAAAGAAAGTGGTTTCTTGAGATGGAATCAACTCCTGGTGAAGATGCTGTGAACATTGTTGAAATGACAACAAAGAATTTAGAATATTACATAAACTTAGTTGATAAAGCAGTGGCAGGGTTTGAGAGGCTTGACTCCAATTTCGAAAGAAGTTCTACTGTGGGTAAAATACTATCAAACAGCCCAGCATACTACACAGAAGTCTTTCATGAAAGGAAGAATCAACTGATGTGGCAAACTTTCATCGTTGTCTTATTTTAAGAAACTGTCACAGCTATCCCAGCCTTCAGCAACCACTGCCTTGATCAGTCAGCAACCATCAACACTGAGGCAAGACCCTCCACCAGTAAAAAGATTATGACTCACTGAAGACTCATGATGGGTAACATTCTTTAGCAATAAAGTATCTTTTAAATTAAGGTACGTACATTGCTTTTTTTAGACATAATGCTTTTGCACACTTAATACACTACAGTATAGTATAAACATAATTTTTATATGCACTGAGAAACCAAAAAATTCTTGTGACTCTCTTCATCGCGATATTCGCTTTATTGTGGTGGTCTGGAACCGAACCTGCATTATCCCTGAGGTATGCCTGTACTAGGTGATTTTTTTTTTTTTTTAGATCACTCAGCTAGAAAGTGGCAGGGGTAAAATGTGGATTCAGCCCCATGTTATTTAAGAAGTAGTTGAACACTGAGGTCTTTGTAAAGTGGCCAATGCTAAGGGATTTGAAAGCCTGGAGGAGAACAGACAGTATCTCTGTTGATTACCCAAATTCTCTTCTCATGTATTATAAAAATAAGTGTGTTTCTTCCTTCCAGGATCTTCAGGCTAAGTTTTCAGAAGAAAGATTAGAGAGCATAGTATCTGCAAAGACTAATTGGAAGGGCCTGGTTATTGTGGGAAAAAATGTCCTATTTTTAACTCAGGGTCCTGATAAAAGAGAAGCCTTTGAGAAGTTCAGATCTGGAGAAGAGTAAGTGCCCCATGTAGGAGCCCTGATGGTGTAGTGGTTAAGTGCTCAGCTGCTAACTGAAAGATGGATGGTTCAAGCCCACCAGCTGCTCCTCAGGAGAAAGATGTGGTTGTCTGCTTCTATAAAGATTACAGCCTTGGAAATCCCATGGGGCAATTCTACTCTGTCCTGCAGAGTTGCTATGAGTTGGAATTGACGCGACAGCAGTGGGTTTAGGTGCCCCATGCAGGTCTTTGTGCCTGTCTTCTTAAATGTATCTGATAAGGTTGGTCTACACCCTTGCAGCTGGGACTGCTATCTAGGTATGCTGAATCTCGAGCAGTCCCCATGTAGAAAAGTTCCTTTTGCATTATAGGACTTGCAGTACACTTACATTCACCTACATGTTTTGTAATTAGATCAGTTTCTATCTTGGCCCTATTTCCTTCTACTCTTGAAAGACTCAGAAGAGAAACCATAAGACCTGAAAACTAATGAATCTCTTGCTATAATTAACACTTTACAAATCAACTTAAAATTGCAGTGCTTAAGGAGCTGTTCTCTAATGCTATTTCTTGCTAATTCAATGTTCCTTTCCCTATTTAAAACACAGTATCTGACCTGAACATCTTCCAAGAACATATTTCATCTTTCTTCCTAAATTTTCAGGTCTAGCATCATAAAATAAGCACTTCAGTTATTTCTTTGTTGTTATTATTTTTATATATGTTTTTCTTATAACAATTTGAGGCCTGACAGGTATTAAAATCCATGGCCATCGAGTCGATTCCAACTCATAATGACCCTGTAGGCCAGAGTAGAACTGCCCCATAGGGTTTACAAGGAGTGGCTGATGGATTCGAACTGCTGACCTTTTGGTCAGCAGCCAAGCTCCTATGACAGGTATTAGGCTCTGCAAAGTGGTAAGTGGAACTACTGTAAATACTCCACTAATTGAGAAAAAAGCCACTCAGATTGCAGAGAGCCAGGAAGTGGCCTCTGATGAAAAGGCAGGAATTGAAGTAAGTCACCGCTTGCCTGCCACCTCTAATGTATTCTTTCATACATCACTATTAAGCAAGCATGGCTGACCTGGAGCTCTCGGTCCCCGTTCTCTTCAAGCTGTTGGGATTGCGGATGAGTTTGTCCAACATGTTGACAATCTGCCCAAATTTAGGCCTGTCGCTTCTCTCCTTCTGCCAGCAGTCTAGCATCAGCTGGTGGAGTGCAATGGGGCAGTCCATTGGCGGCGGGAGCCGATAGCCTTCCTCAATGGCTTTAATCACCTATCGAAGACACAGAATGGTACGTTAAGCTGCCAGGCAAGCTGTTGTTAGAGGTTCACCCTCCCCAGCAGGCATGTTCCTTGTATATTAAGCTGCCAGCAGGCCTGAGCATGGGAACAGCTCCAACTCCTTCACAGAAGCCAAAGCTGGACCTGAGTATTCCTGGCAACAGGAAAGGGAAGCCAGCTGTTGCTATGAGGTGTTCTCAAATGGCAGGCAATGCCAATCTGAAACTCTAAAATGAAGACGCATCAATGTTCCTTGATGGTTAGAACCCCATCAGATGAGCAACATGGTATGAGAGCTTTGGTGATGGCCCTCAGAGGTCACAGGGCCTTGCCCACTACTCCTCCCCCTTCTGCTATTCAGCATCAGCACCCCTACACACTCTTAGCAAAAGTTGACAGCTGCCACCAAAATGGAATTCCCTTTGCATCATTTAAAGCCTGTGTCCTCTTGCTCAGGCAGTGTGTGGGTCAACACCGAGGCCACCAGCCAGACCTCCTGAAACTGCCCCTCTCTGAAATAGCCCACTCCTCACACTTCTCCATCCAGGTGTCATTTGTCCTTTTGGAAGACTATCCCCTCAGATATCAATTCTGTATCCCTTTCTTGGTCTCAGCTGGTTGTCAACTAACCCTCTTAAAGGTCTTCTTCTAGGGCATTTACATTTTACAATGGACCTTCATATATCTAAGGAAGGAAGTTCTAATAGAAGGTGCTCTCTGCCTATGAGACATAAATCATTTTATAGTCTTTCTTCTAATTCTAATTCTTCTGATCTGTCTTCACAAGCATTATAGTATTTTTCTTATTGGCTTTCTTCTTTGCTCTCCTCCTTCAGGATGTGAATCCAGTGATGTGATATGGTATGACTGCTACGGAATTTGAAGAGAGATTATACCTCATAGTTTCTTGGCTACTCATAGGCTTTGTTTATGGTTATCACATGAGATTCTGGAGGATTTGTTGTTTGTTTTGGGTTTTGTATAAGTTTTATTTGTTTTAAATCAATTCTTCTTTCTCCCTCCCACCCCTATGAAAATGATAGCTAATAGCGAACCAACTAGGGGCTACAACCATCTTAGTGACCACAGAGCTCAATGAGCACATTGGATTCACCTGTGATGAATCCAATGCCTGTTCAACAACTTCAAGGGAAAATGATCAGTTCATTTGGGCCTTGTTTCTATGTACAGATAGCTCTGCTGTCTTTTCAACCAATGACTGCTTCCTCTTGCAAATCATTAAGCTCTCAGAGACTTTTTTCCCATGCATTTTGCCAGCATTCTGTTGTGTTAGTATTACTTGCTTCTCCTGCTAAGATTGCATAGGTCAGTTTGATCCTCAGATTTTCTTTTATCTTTCCAGGTGCATAGTCTTGACTGTACACTTGATGAAAACATTTCACATTAAATTGATGAGAATGCAAGTGACATTGGGCTGATGCCAGGGTAACGCAATCTGTAATAGCCCTCAGACTGATTAATATTATTTCATAAACTCCCTATCTGCCACCAGCTTGGGAGATGGCTTGTGGGTTAATAAAGCATATTGTCTCAGTTTACTGCTGAATGTTGGCGGTGTGGGGTGCAGAGGATTAAAACAAACACTTGATAAGTCTGACATATTTTCAACAGTTACTTTCACTCCATTCGCCATATGCCAAATGAATTCTAGGCATGAAAGTAATTCTCCAGTTACGTTTCCTATTGATTCCTGTTCTACATAGAATCCAACACAGAGACAAACACATGTGAACGACAGATCGATATTATCTCTGAGAAGTGGCTTGAGATGCTTTTTCATGGGTAAAACCAGACAACTGGAAAGTTTAAAATAACAACAATTATTTTACTATCTAAACGGTTGAAATTACAAGTCCGAAGATATTTAGCACAGGGAAACTGACAATATCTTTATAGAGAGTCTGCCCTTACGAGCATTTGGCTATGACCCTCACTTGAAATAAAGGAGTGCTTACATATCAAATAATTAAATAAATATAGACATGCACTACTTGCTCATTTAAGGGGTTTGCCTTTGTCCCTCCGAGCATCTCTAACGTGAATCAAAATGTTGCTCTAAGAAGGTGGCATAGTATTATTGCAGCAAACAACAGATTGCACACTCTTCACCCCTATAGTCTTTTTCCAGCCTGTAATTATCCACCAGTTATGCTAGCTGCTGTCTTTCTTCCCATCTGCTATGAATCTGCCTTTATAATTTACATATAATACAATGTCAACATGCCCTTCCCCTTAATCTAGTTAGAGTAGAGAATTCTTATTACCCCACCAGACATGGAGCACATGAGCTTCTCTACTGCTCTGAACATCCTTTCATTGATAAGGATGCTGCATCATATTTCTTAAGTGCACCTGGTTCTTAGTTTAATTGTCAAGACTTGGCAACTTCCCGTTGACTCAGGAGGGCAAGGCGGACCGTCAGGTAACATTCCACATCAGAGAGAAGTTTTAAAGGAAGACTGCTACTAAAATGTAATTCTGATTGATAAATCGAATACCATTCATTTGTAAACACTCTATGTTGACATTTCTACCTCAGACAAAAAATTAGGGAAGAGTTCAAAAAAGTATAGGTGGCCATCTTATTTTGATCTGATATTCCATCCTTCTAGAACTAACTAAAACCTTCCCAGAATTAGCTAAAAAATGTTCTAGGAAGACCCCCCGGTTTAGGTCTCCCCCCACCGCCCTTTCTTTCTCACTGGAGATGTTTGTAATTAAATTCTATTACTCTGGAATCTTATTAGTGTCATTACTGAATGCTTTTCTGAAACTGCAGGCATTGTGGATACTCCCTTATGAAGTAGTCCAGATGGTACATTTAAAGGGATATGCATAATTTACAAAGGGTCATTTAGTGAAGCTTTATTTTAGAGTCCTCAAGGGGCAAGCTCTAATGACAACTATGCCAACTTTAAAATATTTACTAGTTTTCTTCCAATAAACCTTTCATGCCAATTTCATCACATGTGAAATGTGTTTTGTCACATGTCCTTGTATTTTCTTAAATTCTGAAGTTTAAATTTGTTTCCACACAGCTTCAAAAGTTAGCCAAGTAAAAGTACGATTTCAAATCATTTATCTATCTGTGCTTCTATCCATTTCCCATAGTATCCTATTTAGGCCATCTAATTTTTGTCCTTGAAATCCATGACCATAATGTTGAATTAGATTACTAGATACATTTGTATTAAAAATCTTAAGTTTAATATATCATTTCAACCTCAATGCGCATTCCATCATAAAGTAATGCACAACTTCCTGAATCTCAATGCAAGGACATATATTTCAGAACACAGGGACTCACGTCTTGATTGGACATATCCCAGTAGGGTCTCTCTCCGTACGACATCACTTCCCACATAACGATTCCATAGCTCCATACATCACTTGCTGATGTGAATTTACGATAGGCAATTGCTTCTGGCGCAGTCCACCGGATAGGAATCTTGCCACCCTGTGAACATTTGAGCCATAAGTTATTCCCTAAGTACATCACTGTTGTGCCACTTTAGTCTCTGGACGTTGTTACTGCTTGCCAAGCAGGACAACAGCATTCCGGGGATAGTTCCCAAAACAATAATAAGGAACTTGTTTATTTTAAATAAAGTCTTCCAGGTTGAGACACTGCTCCTCATATGTTTCCTTTAGTCACAGGGAAGTGAACAAGTAATATGTTTAATTATCTTTAAAAAGTTTACCTATTATCTGACTCTGCCTAAGGCCATATTGTAGAAGAGAAGGAATCGCAAGCTTTACAAAATACATATGGTATCTGTGGCGTATCAATGGATGTGCAGCTGACATTCATCTTGACTTCTGGGATTCTCTCGTCTAGCAGCACAAAGTCAATGCTTACCATTGCTTTGGAAATCATGAACTAAAGGACTTAAACATGAAAGTGCCTAACTCATCACATCATCATCCCACTAGAGCATAAAAACATGCCCCACATTGTTAGAAGATGATACGCTAATATCACGATACAGGAAGCCCAGGTAACAAAAGATGCTAAAGCCATTACTGACTTCAAAGGAGAGCAGAATCCTAGTTATTATCTAATTTTTAAAAAGACACCTGCAAAAATGGTAAAGTGACTGAATATTACCAAAGAAAAGTTTCAAAAGCAATTCTTTTTCTGCTTGAACTGATTCTCTTATTTCAACATGACCAAAATGTCTCTTGTTTGTTTATGCTTTTAGGCAAGGCGTTTCAAATTTCCTAGGGGCCCACCTTGGGAAGTCGATTCAACTTGCAGTCAAGTCCTTTAAACTGTTCAGGTGGAGATCATTTAAAAGTTTTCTTCACTTTACTGGGGCTACTAAACAGGACAAAGGGAGCCCCGGCAGCGCAGTGGTTAAGCACTAGGCTACTAACTGAAAGGTTGGCGGTTTGAACCCACCAACCGCTCTGTGGGAGAAAAATGCAGCCATTCACTTCTGTAAAGATTTATAGCTTTGGAAAGCCTATAGGGCAGTTCTACTCTGTTCTATAGGGTCGCTGTGAGTGGGAATCCACTCGATGGCAATCTGTTTTTGGTTTAAACAGGACAATCAGTTGTACTGGAAATTGCATGGATTCACAGCAGTTTACTCTGAAAAACCAGTGCATTACATTTATCTTTGTCACGTACAATAGGACATTTGTGCTACTTTCTGCCTTCCTTGAATATTTGGCTAAGGTTTATCTACGTAAATGTATCATTTTAGAAGCATCATTTAACTTTCCTCCTTTCAGCTACTGGGAGAAAAAAAAAGATCTTCAGCATTCACAAAGATGCATTCTTTTCTAAATGAAGTGGACTTGGAATTCAAAACAGAGTATATATTAGAATAAAAACTAGAACCCTCAAAATTAAATACTGCCCCTGCCCCCTCAAAACCCAAAAACCCCGTGCTTACGATTGCAGATGCAAAGTGGCTATCATTAAAGGAGGAAAATGGCTAGTAACTGTCTGCTCCATGTTGATTTTAGCAGGGTCAACCTTAATGGCCAATAACTGTTTCATGACACTGTGTTTATTTTATTAGAATTTAATATTCAGATTGCCAAGCTAAGACAGCATAGCCATTAACTAATATAACTCTTAACTGTGCCCTAATCCCTGCTTATCTACTAGTAGTAAAATGAAGGCCGTCAGACACTGGGAAACCTTGTGTATTGTAAATATTTTATATATCTTTTATATACACTCTCAGATTCGGTAGCCAAACAACTAGAAACATTGCTTTATCTTGTCTAGAATAAGAAGAATTTTTTTAAGGTTAAGCAACTTGCTTTTTTTTTAAAAAAAAAAAAGTGTGGCAAAATATATATAACATAAAATTCACTTTGTAACTGTTTCTAAGTGTACAATTCAGTGATATTAATCACATCCACAGTGTTGTACAAATGTTACTACTATGCATTTTCATAATTTCCAAAAAATTTTTTTAAGAATAGAAAAAAATTAAACAGAAAATTTACAAACAGAATGAATGAGTAAATAATCAAATGAAAAAAAGGAAGAAAGATGAAGTGTAGAAAATTATGATAATAAATGAAGCTACCTTCTGATTCTTTTTTCAGTAATGGATCCTCTGCTAGGTGTATTACCCCTGATACTTGCTTCTCTTCTCACTGCCTGCATTTTTAAAGACACCTTCTCACTGTTTTTTAGCACTTTGTCCAAAAAAAAATGTAGAGAGAAAAAGAATTCAGTTTGCTTCTAATCTGTGGCTTTGTAACATGGTCAGTCACACGTCTAAATTCTTTGCTTCAAAATCCCTAGCTTTTCTTAGGAACATGGTTTAAAAACGGATGCATGGAAATGTAGAAGAGCCTCTGAAGGATGAGGACAATTAAAAATTATAAAGAACTTGAATATCAAGATAAGAAGAGAGAAACAGTTTCATCAGAGCAAAAGCCCAGAGGTCACAACTTTCCCTTACCCTGGTGGTATAAGCTGCTTCAGGATCATCCTCAAGTACTCGGGACATGCCAAAATCGGACACTTTGCAGACCAAGTTGCTATTTACCAGGATGTTTCTGGCGGCCAGATCTCGATGCACATAGCTCATATCAGATAAATACTTCATCCCAGACCCAATGCCACGAAGCATGCCCACCAGCTGAATGACCGTAAATCTGCCATCATTCTTCTGCATAGGAAAGCAATGAAGAAAATCTCATTAGCATTAGGCCAAATTAATTATCACCAAGCATTTATAACTTGGCTCTCTTTTGATATCTTTATCCGGTATGCAATGAAACTCAACATTATTTCCGGGCCCTTCTGATCGAAGTCACTAATTCACTAGCAGAGTGTATCCTACTAGCTGGGTGTTCTTCCTGTGATAGATGGAAATTACCCAACTGTAATGAATCTATGGCTCAAACAGTTCTACTGTACAAGAATAAATCAAATACTATCTTCATTGAACATGGATTATTTAATAGCCTTAAAAATCACATTATTCTCTATTTGGACTCTTCTTCCTTTGCCTCATGCAAAAAGTCTGTGAATACAACCAAACAGAACTGATCCAAGGAGTCTGTTAGAGTGTTCTAAACAACAACGTTCTTGGGTTTAATACAAAGTAGTCACATACCCTGAGGAATGCATCCAAGGAACCATTCTCCATGTACTCTGTTATGATCATTACTGGTTTACCTAGAGTTTTCAGAAAGAAAAACACAAATCCTTAACGAGCGCTGCAGTTAATGAGATAAAAATGGGCTGTGCACAATTTTGCTGCCAAGACACCTGTCTTGTGTGCTCTAATTTAATTAAAACAAGCCAAGCTTATGCCTCAGCTGTGGGGAGCTAGGAATGAAATATTAAAAAGATGAGTAGGTTTAAATGCCATCTGGAAGGTTAACCCTTTGGGTGGCTTGTTGACAAGGTCTTTAACTAAAGTGGCCTCTGGTATCCAGGGAGCACATGAATGGATAATTGCCATCTCCAGCAAAAGGGGAAAAAGACAAATGGGCGGGCCTGTTTAAATACGAAAAAAATCTTTAGGATAATTATTTTGTCCCCAGAAGAGCCACTTGTGTGATGTTAAATAAGTCAATGGACAGAGAACTATTTCCCCTTATTCCAAGAAATCTAAGCGCCTCAGGGAACAGTAGCTGTGTTGGATTCTTCATTACTCAGATACGTCTTAGAAGTCAAGCATGCACAGTATTAATGTCTTTCCCCCTTGTCTTCTTCACATCGGGGGCTGTATCCATTCTGTTCCCTTTTCTTATCTAGAAATAAACTTGTTTTATTTGCTTCCTAACACTGCCCCCCTCAAAAAAGAAATATCATCAAAGAAAACATTAAATTATTTCATCCAAGACAGAAATTTAAATTCAGTACTAGAACATTTCTCGGCCCACCCTACACACCTTTTTTTAAGCAAGCAAAATGGTTTCAATTAAGGGCTAAGGGGTGGGAGGAAACAACACTTTGTTTTAACTTTAATTTGCTTTCTGAGCACCTTAGGAAATCAGTACCATTCTTTTGTGCTTTAATCATTGGCAATGAACTCAAGGCCTGAAATTCCTTCATCCTAAACTGTGTTGATTGGGGAGGGGACCCTCAAATTTTTGACTAAGGGAAGGGTTGAAGTAAAAACTCCATAAAAGATGCCCTTGGAGGAAAATGAAACACCAGTTTGATACCCCCAAATTGTTCATGCTCGTATTGCTGTTTCTGGCCTCTGACTAGACTTTGACTTTCAGGCAGCAAAAATGGGCTGGAATCTTTCACCACGGAAAAGCTCCCACAATTATTCTAAACTAATAAAATTTCCACCCAGTGTCTCTGTCAGCTTATAATTTCTGCAGTGGGGAAAAGGGAAATGTCTTAATTTCAGAGGCAAACATACTGGAAGAACATTAGTTTTTAGTTTTGAAGTCCAATTTATCCATTTACTCTTCTATTGACCATGTTTTTAGTGTTAAGTCTAAGAAATCTTTTGAAATCTCAGAAATCAAAAAGAAAATTGGATTCAAAAACAATACCCTGGACATTTTATTTTCAAGTGATGAATGAAAGCTGACAGAAAAAGCAGAAATCTCAGTGTAGACCAAAAGGGTGAGTGATAACCCTTCCAGTTCTTTCCCTCTGTGCCTCACTGGAGGGAATGGTCCCTGTACACCTTTCCATCCTCCATCAATATAAAGAAGGACCTCTTGGTTCTAGGGATAATCCTCACATTCATTTACTCTCTACATCTGTGACCAGTCTTCTGACAGACCAAATGCATCTAAATGAGTTTTAATTAACCTGTCTCTATCAAAAGATACTTTGTCAACTAATGAGAAAGGGAGACTCTCTTGGCTAAGCATTAACACCTACTTCCATTTCTCCAGGCCCCTCTTTAGCTGTGGAGCAGAGAGTAGACGATCCAAAAGAGAGGGGGTGGGAGAGAGAATTTATGGTTCTCCTGTCAATTTAAGAAGTTACTCAAGTAACTGCTGGTAATGAATTCACACCCTACTTCTCCACCTTTTCACCCTCACACCTCCCTTGTCTGACTGTTGGCACCATCTTCACAATTTTTCTACATTCCTTTTTCTGTTTATTAAAAGTGTCCATTTGTCAGAGTCTTTACGAGTTCCACCAGAGAAATAAAGATGAATGTCTCCATAAGCAGAAGGGCCTATAAAAACGGACGGGGCTGAGCTCACGGACCATGGGCTTATTCCCTGGGTCAGGCAGGGACACAGTGAGGAAGGGACTAGAGGAGGAAGGGACACCTTCATCCATGGGTGGAAATTTAAAATCATTTTAATTCAGTGACAACTGCATTATGCAAATGCATCCAGTTGTTTAGAACAGTTACAGCTGTAATAGCTATGGGTTTTAGAGGCACGGTGGGACTTTAATACAAAGATCCCCCTGTTTCTTCTCTCTTCTGCAGAAGTGCTATGAAAATCACTGTCTGCAGCAAGAAAAACACCCCAAGCTGAACAGAGCCTCCTTTTTAGAAAACGGACCTGCAGAAGTATTTAAAGTGAATGTTATCTTTTAATTAAAGTAGTGAAGGCTCCAGGCAGCCCTGAAGGCCACAAGCAACAGAAAAATCTCTTGTCTGTGAAAAAAGCAAACAGAGCTATTCTATGCTAATTATAGCCTTCACCTTATGGGGAGGGGGGAATTATAGATCTTAAGCACCAAGTTTCCTTTTTTTGAAGAATCCTAAAGATGGGGAAAGATGTACTTCTTAAGGCATAATAACAACAGTAGCCAACTTAGAGTTGTTTCTTTTTTCAATTTGCCAAGCATTATGCTAAGGGTTCTAAACATTCTATTTCATCCAAAATAACCTTGTAAGACAAGTTATTTTTTTGTCTCCATTTTACAGATGAGTAAACTGAGTGGTAGAGTAACTAGTCAAGTTCACAGAGCTTCATGAGCAGTAGAGATGGGATGCAAATCCTTTGTCACTAGACCTATGGTTCTCCTAGCGTGGTCTCTGCACGAGCAGCTGCGGTGTCAACTGGGAGCCTCTTAGAAAGGCACACTCACTGGTCCCACCCCAACCCACTGATTCGAAACCTCTAGGGATAAGTTCAAAACCAAAAAAACAGTTGCCTTCGTGTCCATTCCGACTCATAATAACCCCACGTTTCAGAGCAGAACTCTTCTCCATGGGGTTTTCAATGGCTGTGGCCTTTCGGAAGTAGGCTTCCAAGCCTTTTTTCCCAGGTGCCTCTAGGTGGATTCAAACCATTAATCTTCTGGTTAGTAGCTGAACTCTTAACCATTTGGCCACCCAGGGGTTTGGGATGAGGCCAGGGAAATAACTGTTTTAACAAGTTTTTCAGGGGATTCTGATGTTTAAGTCTGAGAACCTCTATACCAGTGCATACATTCTCTTTTTAGTAACCTCCTCATTTTTCTCTTCCTAAAGATTTTCTACCCTTGTCCTATTCTCCTTCTGCCCCAGACCCAGTGTCTCAATTTTATTCTTTAATCTATCCCCTTTTACCCACTGGAGCAGCCATATTCTCACCACTTTGCATATGTTCATCGGGGATGCTTTGCAAAGACACCTTCAATCACAGAAGAGAAGCCCCAATCATCCTGGAGACATAGCCCCAGGCTTACAAGATCCTTGACTTATAGTAACAGTTCTAGGGCTCCTGGAACGGGGCTACCCTAAACAATAACCATTTCAGCTGCACTGTCCATGTGGCTCTTTATAAGTTGGTCTTAGCTAACCCTACAGATGTATTCAGAGTTTGCTTCACAAAATGCATGTGTTGAGCTGGGTCGTATTTTAACTGAAGCATGGTTCATAGACTCAGTAAATGCTAATGGACTAGAGAAGGAAGGTTCAACCAGGTGTTACTGTAAATAGGTGCTGAACTGCAACAACCATAAATCAGGAAGAGCAGACAAGCAAATCCCCCAGTATAATAAAGAGTCCCAAGATTCACTCCCTGCATCTGGATCTCAAAGCTTCAAACACAAGGTGTGGCAAGGATTTGTTGTGTTTTATAGGAAAAGTACTTAAATTTATTTCGCTTACCATCTGCTTGTGCCCACCCTGTGACAGTTTGGTCTAGCAAAGATTTGAAAGATGGTACAGCATACCCAAAATCTGCAATATTAATTCCCCCCAAATCTCACACAAGCTGCCTTGGAGATAGGGTATCAGCCAAAACCATAGACCCATTTAGAGCTGACTACAAGATTAATGACTTGTCCTGCACTAATTTCCTCCTATTAGCAATCAGTGGGTCTGCTCCATCTGTCATTTCCCTGGAAAGAAAATGTGTGTTTAATTTCCCAGTAACTTCTAATTTGGCTTAGTAGAGGGAACGACCCACGTACATTTGGTGACGACCCCTTCCAAGTGAATGATGTTAGGGTGGTCAAACTGTCCCATGATGCTGGCCTCACTCAGGAAGTCCCTCCTCTGTTTGTCTGTATAACCAGCTTTCAGAGTCTTGATGGCCACGCAGATCTCTCTCTTGCCAGGCACTTTAAGACGCCCACTGCATACTTCGCCAAATTCACCTTCGGAAGAGAGAAAAAATCTGCTAGGACTAGAAACACATGAAAGACGAAACCGTGAGAGCTGACATTTGATTTGTGGAGTGCTCATTGTCTGCCAGGCACTGCACTATTGCTTCTTCCAAACCCCGTGAGATAGATGTTATTATTAGCTCCATTTTATCAGGGGACCCTTACTTAGGCTTATGGAAGTTACATAACTTGCCCGAAGTCTTATCGTTAATTAGTAGAGTGTAAATTTGAATGCAGTTGGTGTGACCTCAGAACCCAGATGCTTACATTACTATGTTAAACTCTCTTAGGATCAAAATCAAAGTGTTCACCAGAGTTCTTTACAGCACACCACATTTGATACTTCTAATGATGAAATTACATGCACAAAGATATTTACAAATTCACATAACTTACAACATACTCATATGCATACATACATTTATATAATTATTTGTATAATATAAATATTTATATAATCCATCTGTACATTTATATAACATCCACCAAGAAAATAGCCTTACATTAGACAGAACTCAGACACTTACCGACTCCTATGACTTTTTCAATCTTAATGCAGGATGCGTCGATTTCTTTGGCAAATTCTCGAACCGCTTGGTTGGGATCTTCGTATGTAAAGGGATCCACATAAGTTCTAACACCTGAGTAATAAACATGTGATAGGTTGGCTAAACACTTCTCAGGAACCACTAATAAATACAATATAAGTTGTCTGGGTCTAAAACTACTTAATGTAGCAAAAGTCAGGTTAGCTGTATGTTCTTGACACATGAAAATGTTAAAACTCTCCCTCTGGATTTCATTTGGTGGTAAATAAACACTTGCTAGCTACTTAAGAGGCTACAGCTCTATGAACTTCCTGAAACATATTCACACTTCAAGGATAAAATTTTAAAAAGAGCAAACGATCCCATCGAGGAAAAGAGTCTGTATAAGGAGATTTGGAATGTTTAGCTAACTACTGTTATCCCAATCAGTTACTCATAACTTCTTTCTCTTTACCCCAAGTCTTACCCACAGCTTCTAGCTGTCCTTTGTTAGAAGGAAGTTCCCTTGGGGAAGATAATAGAAACTTTCTTTCTCAACTGACCCTGTCTACATGCTGTCACACTTTGCCTACTCTCTGGACCAGTTAAGTATGTGACCAATAACTATCAAACTTGGATTGAACCTAGGTTAAAACACACAAGAAGACACAAATAATTACTAGGAGCTTTCTATGGCCAACCACATCTTCCCACCAGGGTTTTGGGGCACTGGAAGTGTCGGGGATGCTGGTTGGCCCAAATCCTTCCGATTTTTCAGCTCTGTCTTGGCCCAAACATCTCCAGGCTGCCTCAGAGCTCATGTTCTGAATTTAGTTTTTAAGTAACTGTAGGGTATGACTGAGTGGAACTTCTGGTGTTCAAACCATTCCGTAATTAGTGTACAATGATATCATCAGCTGAAGCTCCTAGATGAACTTCAATGTTTGCTTATAGCACCTGCTTTCCAAAACAGAATAAAGTAGAGGTCCAACACAGAGTTCATATTCTCTAGTCAACTATGCGATATTATGTTTCTCGTCTACTATAACCAAGCTTTAATCTAAGTTTAATGATTGTTGGTCACATATTTATTTGGCTATTGCATGGATACTTGAAAAGTTTTATGGAAAATGTACTATGATATTAACAGCCACCTGAATATCGTATAGAAATTTCTAAACAAGGAAATATAACACACACTTAGAAAGTACAATTAGTTTTACTCCAATTTTTTGTACCTTGATTCAAATGTTTCTCTTCATCCGCTTCCTGTTTTGCTTTACTGTATTTACTTCGCCTGTTAAAAAAATGTTTACCAAGGAAAATTATTTTTTTTTTTCCAACATGTAAGCAGAAACATAGCCATAAGACAAGTTCTTTGCTACTGTTATATAAATCAGGCAGACACACCATGCACAATTCACAGATGAGAAAACTGAGGCTTACAAGAGGTGAAAGATCAAGGTGAAGAGCTTGGTGAGTAATCATTTCAAGCTCAAACAGTCATATTCCAGAGTCTGTGCTCTTCACAACATTAAACTGAGGTAGTCTTCCAGTAGGCAAACTAAATATTTTAAAATATAATTATAACTTCAAACTCCTAGAGGAAGTTTATTATATTAAAGACACATTTGTCTAATTTTTTTCATATATATGTTATTTTCTGAACAAAAATAAGTTTCCATGGGTAAATTCTACATGAATCAAATAGCATAAATACTCAGTCTGTGATTTTTTTGCATTTTTTGTTTTAGGTGCCACGGAGTCAATTTTGCCTCACAGAGATCCCATAGGGTTTTCTTTGTCGTAACCTTTACAGAAGCAGATGATCAGGTCTTTCTCCTGCAGAGTAGCTGGGTGGGTTCAAACTGCCAACCGTTAGTTTAGCAGCCGAGTGCTTAATCATATGCACCACCAGGGCCTTTCAGTGTATGATAGGTAATAGAGTAAATCCTGTTCTATAACCACGATAACCACTACCACCAAAATACTTCATTATTTTATTACTTTATATTCTTAAAGCAAAAGTTTTGTATGTACTGGTTTCAACTGCTGCATTACAAATTACTAAATTATTTGTAAAAAAATGAAAAAGTAAATATTTGCTTTGTACTGGATTGCATTCCTGAGGATTTTATTGAAAAATATCAAGAGCAAAAATGAAAAGTTTTTGTTTGCTTTGCCTAATTATTTTTCAATAAAATCGTTTGTAGTCTCACACAATGGTCCTTCTCCTTCTGTATCCTGTGGGACTGAAACCTGGCTTTGTTAGAAAGTCTTGGGAATAGGAGATCTTGAACTCATATACAGGCAGTCCCCGGGTTACAAATGTCCTACTTACATACAACCCATAGTTACGGACCAACCCCTATAAAGCCTATTATATTACAACTTCGAGGTACATATAATGGTTTATAATAACAAACAGATGTTACTTTGTGAAGACATCAAAACATTATCATTACTGTACCATTATGTTAAAGACATTTTAGTGTACCTGGAAGTTTTTCTTTAATGTTTTTTATTCATAGAAAGGTATAATATATACTAAGACCAACATTTGACTAACTGACGTTAGATACGTAACTCAGACTTCCGTACAAGTTCGACTTAAAGACAGACTTAGGAACGGACCTTGTTCGTAATCCAGGGACTGCCTGTATATACACCCACTCCTCACTTATCAACATGGTTAGGTTCCAGAGACTAGGTCTTTATGTAAAAATTGGCATTATGTGAAAATGGAGGATGATCATATCAGATCACAAAATGGAGGAAGAGTACATCATTACATAACTGCCAAACCACTGAGAATCATGGCCCAGCCAAGCTGACACATAACCTTAACCATCACAGCCAACGGTACTCTCATCTTTCACCTCAGTATTTGTTACTGCCAGATGTATGTCATTAATGTGCAAAATAGTTGGATGATAGATGTTTCGCTATTGTTGTAAATGTAAAACGTTGGATAATGAGATAGTCGATAAGTGAAGAGTGGGTGTACATATATACATATATATATAAAACCACATCACTTAAATGAATCTTGATTTCTTGATTCAGTTGTGATGGACTTCTGAAAATCAGCCAATGAAAACCCTATGGATCACAATGATCCAATCCGCAACCAATCGTGAGAATGTAGGATGGCAGCAGTTCGTTCCATTGTGCATGGGGTCACCCTGAGTCAGGGGCTGACTGGACGGCAGCTAACGACATCAAAGTTTGGGCAGTAGACCACATAATACGTGTGTGCTTATGTTTCTGTCCAAGATGCAAAATTTACATTGGGATTTATAATCATCTTGTGTTTTTTAGGTCTTTAAAGGCAAGGTAAGGATGAGGAAACTAAGGCTCTGCGATGAGAAAAGATTCCCTCAAAGCCACAGTGTATATCCGCAGTGTGGTCGAGTTAGACTCCAGCACCCAAGTCCATCTAACTCCTGAATTTTGAACAAGCAGAGAAGGGCAGAAGCTCATATAACCAGGAAACAGCAGACACTAAAGGAGCCATGTGGTGCAACTGGAGAGGCAGCCCAGCCATGGTCACGTGCTCAAAGCTTCTCACCCACATTCCTCTCCTAATTGTCAGCAATGTGGGAACCAGCTCAGCAATCAGACCCTCTGAGCCTACAGATGTTCCTCCCTGTGTATAATTCCCTTGCAAATAATAATACCTTCTCCTTTAACACTGCATTTAACTCTTCAAACTGTTCTCATCACATGTAGGTATTATCTCCTCCCCTAACTATTTGCAAAACAGAACCGCAGCTCCTACCAATAACTGCTAAGTGTGTAACTCAGTCCAAATAATAGCTTGTATTTTTACTTTGCGTTTAACTTTTCAAAGGGCCTCCATCCAGTTATTTAACTGCATCTTCCCAACAACCCTATGAAACCCATTGGGAAGACAGACATATACTCAACTCCATTGTACAGATGAGGACCTGGAGGCAGGCGGTCACCCACGTCTCCCCTTAGCAAATGCAGGATTTAATGTATGCCCTGATTTTGCCCACCACTTCACAGAGCCTCTCAGCATGAAGATGTAGTCATATAAGACTATCTGATGAGATTTAATTATAATTAATATTACATTCTATATCCGTACAGTCACTAAAATTAGACTGAAATGCTCTTACAATTCACTGCTTTAAAGATACAGGTTTAAATACACTGAAAACACATAGCTTTCTATGAGTGATGTTGTTGGCTGCCATTGAGTCAGTTCCAGACTCACGGCAACCCTGTGCAAAATGGAGCCAAACGCCATCTAGTCCTGCGCTATCACCATAATCGTTTATGAATCTGACCATCGTGATTCAGAAGGTTTTCACTGGCTGATTTTCAAAGTACATCACTAGGCCTTTCTTCCTAGTCCATCTTAGTCTGGAAGCTCCACTGAAACCTGTTGAGCGTCATAGTTACACACAGGTCTCCACTGACAGATGGGTGGTGGCTGCACATGAGATGCATTGGCCAGGAACCAAACCAGGTCTCCCATATAGAAGGCAAGAATTCTACCACTGAACCCCCTCCAACCACTTTCTTCCTCCTTCCCTTCCCATTTTTAAAGAAAATAGAAGAGTGTTTGGTCCATGACAATATTTTTCATGTCATTTTATATCAAGGAAACATGTGGCTATGACCCCAGAGGTGTGATAGGATCCTGCCAGCCCTTGGGATTGTATCTTATCTGGATTCCTGAAGGCATTATCTAAAATTACAAGTATATCTTTAAAACCACTTTAGATCTAGAAACCTGATTTGAATTTCTTTCCTGTAAAGAGGAAAAATACCACATAGAGCAAGAGAGCTTTGGTGCTCACTTTAAATTCTCAGTAAATGAGTCAAAAGCTCAGATATAAACCCAGAGAAACAAGTGGCCTCAAGCTGCTGAGCTGTGTGTGGCTCTCTGTTTTCCATCAAGCATATTCATTAAATACATGCAAAGCTAGAGGAAATGCAAAATGGCAGGGATCATTAATTATCGGGCTGGCCCGCCCATCCCTTACCCAGACTTCTAAACACAGAGCAAGAAATGAAGTTAGTGGTGAAGGTGTGCATTTAAAGAAACTCCTTGGTGTGTTACTTGGAGGAGATGACCCTGCAAGAATCCAGGGAATGCCGAAAAAGAAACACAAGGATTACTGTTCAAAGGCTAATTGTAGCCTATGAGCTTTTTTAATAATACCTTGAAAACAAAAAAATGCCTGAGTTCAGCTCTATCTTTGTCACCTGATGACCCTTACTCTTTGGCTCAGGGGAGGACAATGTGGACCCTTGTTGTCCCAAAAAAGCGAGCACACGGAAGCTTATTATTCAGCCAGGGAGCCCTCGAAGGAAACCACTCAGCCTAAAAAGTGCTAACTCTAAATTGGCATTCAGGCAGATCACCTGAATGGCAGGAGGAAACCTTTGTTGAAGGTTTGGGTTTTCTAATTATGGAGACTTGGGGCAAGCTGATTAAAAAGGGGGAGGAGGGAAGTGATTTGTTAGTGAATGTTCCAGAAGGAAACATGGAACCTTTCAACTGCAGAGTCAGAGAAAAGGGCTGACTCTGCAGGTGAAATTTTGAGAGTCCAAGCTGAGCCCTCCCCATGGGCAAAGGGACACCGCAATAAGGGTATTAACTGACTTTGTTGACGAATAGCATGAGCCTCAACACTGCCCTCCCCACCAATGTGTTGTTTCTGGCACCTTGACTAGTCAATAAAACAAACAAAATAGCGGAGTGGCGGGGGGGGGGGGTTCAGTGCCCCGCATAAACCCTGCTTTTATTAAAATACTAACTTCCTTGATGGAGTGGACGGATTTGATTGATGTGGTTCACTGTTCCAAAACTAATTAGTAAAAGGTAAGTAATTTATTCAGCTAAAGTGCAGATTAAAGGAGATAAAGCAATGTAATAACTAGAATGGCTCCAGGAGGGCCCTTTGCAGCATTTAACAGCATCACCCATGAAGATTCATAAAAGCCATCCTTCTTTTTCCCCTTTCTTAAGCTGTCAATGTTCTTGCACCAAATGACGTCTAAACATTCTTCATGAGCAACATTTTGAAATGGTTGGAATTGAACCGTACGATTGCAGGAACGTTGTTTAGAAATGTTCCCGAGGTACCATCTGCCCCTAATTGTATGAATTTACATAACTTCATCAGAGCCAGTTTAGACTAACATTTAAATGTATTCATTCTTATGGGATCATAATATTCCAGGGAAGAAAATTAGGGTACCAGGGAGGATAGAAATGAGCTGAACGGCAACTGTTTTAACATTATGTGAACTGTTTGC